TGGATTTTGCTTCAGAAGGGTTCTCTCATGGACCTTCGAGCCAACCTTCATTGAGATTAGATAGCTTCCATATGCTTTAACAGTGCCACCAAGTTCGTTGCGTCAGGGACAATGTTGACCAACGTGCCCAAGGATGTCACAGAGGTAGCAAAATTGAGGCAACCTTTCATACTTTATCAAAGCTTCGAAGGTACCCTGCTCTAGCTTCTCATGACTCATGAGATGCTGGGACCAAGACTGGCAGCGGTTCACTATCATCAATCCAAACCTTTTCTCGGAGAAAGATTTCCCTGATTTGAGCAATCCGATGAACATAAACCTTCTTAGTTTTTCCCAGCGCAAGGCCCAGTAGAAACCCCATCTTCTTTGTACAGTATCCAGAAGGGATATCCCAGAACTGAAGGCGAAGTGGAACTCGCCATAACGGCTCAGTAACCTCTGGGGTAACCGCCACCCATGGGACTAGGCTCACTAAGAATTTGGGGAGAAATCATGGAGACGCCGAGCGCACTCGATCCCTATCCGTCTTGCTAGAGAACACAAATTGAAAAAGGTCTGAAGTAATTGGGATAATAGAAATGGCACCATGGCAACCCCACAATCAACCCATCGTGTTCTAGAGATGGGATATGGGGGGCACATGCCGATGACCTTTCCGAGGAGAGACATATCGTCGCGTTCCGCATCGACGAGGATATCAGCATCCCCAAATACAACCATCTTCGACGCAACCATGGTTCAAAAACCGAAAAAATCAGGAAACCAAAATTGGGAAATTTGCAAGAGCGGGAAAAGGCGAATGCACAATTGCGACCCAGATCGATGTCCCCACAAGGGAGGATTTAAAGCCTTCATCAAAGGAGTGGTCGATTCCGGCGCCGCATGATGGCGGCCGTGCCAGTTGCGGCAAGTCGCACGAAGGCGAAATCGAAGCTCCACTTCCCACGATTGAGAGAAAACGAACCTTGAATATTCATTCCTTTACCCCAAAGAATAAAACATTAATCATTATCAATGACCCAACAAAAACAAAAAAGATGCAACCTGCAAATAATAACACGAAGTAGCAGCATACTCCTGTTTTTCACCATCTCCATATATGCTTCAAGGTTCATGCCTTCCATACTAACTTTGAATTATCAATTTATTAACTAACAGATGTGACCTATTCCATAAATGCAAAAACAAACTATCGACCAAACACCCCAAAAACATTAGTAGATTCAATTAACTCATTTATGAGGATTGATGTGACAAGACACGGTGATCATCCAAATACCCCCAAAAACACAGAACCAAAATCAGAAAAGGGAAGGTAAAGGGGGGGGGGGGGAGGGGTGCTTTACCGTGCTGAGAAAAAAAGGGGAAACCCAAATACAGAATGGCAGTTGAAACTAACCCAAGAAACAACTGTATCAAACCCATAATAAACCAATATGAAACCCAAAATCAACGGAGATGCGAATCAACATAACCCATAAATGATCTCACTCCTATTGACCATTGTAAACACCCGGAAATCAGAAACGATCCCCATCTCGTGTGCATGCAGCGACCAAAGATGCTTGCGAGAGACATAGGAGCTTGTCTCTGCCGCATGAGAACAAACGAAATGATTGGGAGCTCGAACCCAAGAGAAAGTGGGAGGGCATAAAAGAAGAGATATGGTTCGTTTCAAGAGCAAGCTTATACATTCTGATGCTGTTGTTGCTGCTCAAAACCTTCGACATCTACAATTCGGAGACCGACTCTGTTCGCCGTAAACCAGTCACCGCCTCTTTTCGTCGTCGAACGGCTAAACCTTTGTAACAAATGAAAACCACTTTCTCAGAAGAAAAAAAGAAGAACGGATTGAAGGTAATAAAGTTGAAGATTTTCGTTGGAAGATCCTTCTTCTTTTGAAAAAGAACGACAAGAAGAGGAGGTCGAAGATTAGAGTTTAGGGAGATCGGATTGGAAAAGGAAAGAGAAACACAGATGACTGAGAAGAAGACGAAAGGAAGAAAGAGAGATGGGGCAAATTGGGAACAATAATAGCGTAAAACGCGTTATTTTGAAATAACAGGGTGTGTGGGGTTATTTCATTAACTTATTTTGCGTTATTTATAAATAATCCGGCCTCCAATTAATGCTTTTCAGTTTTAGAAAGCTAAACGTGTTATTTTGGGCCGAATAACTCTTTAGGCCGAAATAACTCTCCCAAATAATCTATCCAAACGACTCCTATGTAAGATTATGCACCATAGGTTACTGACACTATCCATAGACCATAGCCTCCTAAGTCCTAAGTCCTAACCCTTCCCTTCCCTTTTGGGCCTCAAGGTCGCAGTCCACTGGAAACCTTGTTACGGCTGGCCATACAAAGTTGTCGTTCTCGAATTGGGCCTTTCAGAGAACGGGCTTCAAGCCTTCAACATTATGTACACTAACGACACGAGTCACGACTCACGACCTGCCGTAATCGAACTTGGACCAGCCAGCGAGGCAGCGACCCAGCGTAGCGTCGCGTTGCGTCAGAGAAGAGACCATTGCCATGACACGATTGGCTTCGCCTTCCTAGTTCCTTCACCGGCGACGGCGAGTCAAATGATGCGAATCTTCTGATGGAAATACTAATACAATATTCGGTCTGATCATTCCGCCAAAGTCAGCAAGTTTTCTCAGGTCAAGTTCCTCACTGAAAAAGTTTATTCAATTCGTCTATCCCTCTCACCTTTGAATCCCGCACGCTAGTCATCTTGTTCTTGTTTCTTGTTTGATCCCTGATGCACACAACTTGTTTGTTATATTGCCTATGTGAAGTGTGAACCAGTCAGTCGCCTGTAGGCTGAATCTCTCCCTATATTTAAACTTACTAGGAAGTAGATCATCGTTTAAGTACCAAAGTCCTCGATTAACTACAGGACGTGATTGAATTAGATACAACAGTGAAACAAATTGTGGAGGCAGTATAAACTTCTTACATTCTTCTGAATTGGGTGCTCGATTATTTATCCACTTATGGCCAGATTGGTGGAGGTCAATGATGGTACTACCACTATGCTTGTCAACTTGTTTCAGTCTATTTTCCCCATTCTAGCTAGGAATGATTGTGATAAAAAAATTTTACTCTTGATTGGCCAGCTAATATCAATGGAACCTCACGGACGATGGCCTGCCTAATTTGGTGAATAATTAAATCGCTTTAAAGCAATGGGATCTGCGAACTTTTTGGTGCTGCTAAACAGGTACAGTTTTCTGGTTTTCATCTCAATTACTTTGTCAGAATGACCAATGCTCATAAGCACCGGTGTTTTCGTTTAAAAGACATTTATACTACAAGTTGAACTTAACCTTTAACATTATAGTACGAATTCAATATGTACATATACATTTTTCATACAAATTGTCTTATAATACAAACTGAACTAGTACATTGAACATTATGGTACAAATTCAGCTTGTACATATACATTTTTGTACAAATTCCTTTATGATACAAATTGAACTTGCTCCTTTACCGTTATGGTACAAATTCAACTTGTATCTATATCTTTTCGTACAAATTCATTATGGTAGAACTTGTATCTTCAACGTTATAGTACAAGTTCAATTGTACAAGGTAAAATTCCTCTTAGATTTGATGACATGACAGTGACTTATTGGTGAATGTTAACAATAAGTTGTTATGAAATGGAGGCAGTTTGGTACAAAGAAAGAAACCCAAATCTCTGTTTTTCTTGGGTTAACCAAGTTTTGTTAGAGTTTTCTAATTCCATTTTTTACCCAGTGACTTGGTTGATACCTATTTTGTGATTGGCGCTTGCAACTTGTTCTCTTTCGTATAGGACATGTCTGCCCCTAGTTAGCTTTGGTTTCTTTCTGATCATAGAGCCTAGCAATCCATTTTGGACAGATACCCCATCTTTTCATCTAAGAACAATTCCTTTCCTTTTTCTTTTCCCCTAAAAAAGCTTGATACTTTTTGCTCAGTAATGGATTCTCCACCATGTCCAGAATTAAAAAACTTGCTCTCTGTGAATCTTATTCTTCTCTTCTCAAGAGGACCCGCAAACCACTCGTGAAAGTACAAAACACCAACACCACAGCCACACGTGTTTCTGGCTGTTGGCACTGACATTATTATTTGTATGCTTACATGCAAAACTAACAGGTGCATATGCCCCTCATGGTCTGTTTTTGCAATGAGAAATTGAGAAACTGTTGCTGGTGAAATCTGTGTTCTGCTCTTTTGATCTCGCAAGTTGCTGTCCCTTTCAGCACAAGCTGGTATTGTTCTGCCTGCAATAGTAGAACCAGAGCTATTTCTTTAGGACAGTTAGCCCTAGGTAGCCATGTAGTTCTATCTTCGCAAGAATTGAAGGTAAAGCTCGTTTTAGAAGAATTCAAGATCCAATTGTTCTGCTGTCTTTCTGGGAATAACCTTTTTCTTAGGGTTCCAATTTGCAAGTTATGGCTTCTTGACTCTCAATAGCGAAAGAAGCTTAGCGACCTTATGTTCTAATATCCCTCTACCACCACAAGGAAGGCCATCAAATTCCTCTGGAGAGCAAAAGAGATAGGATAGAACGTATAAAGGGTAGTTGTTTGCATGCTTCATTGATCAATCAATTAGTCCTTTCCAGCTGATGGCTTCATTTAAGTGGACCCTTCAGTATGCAATTTGTAAAATAGGAATCAGGACTCCATTTAATATCTAGAGGAAAGAAAAAGAAGCTCCATGCGAATCAGAACTTACCACCATCCCAAGCCAATCATTCTAAAAAAAAAAAAAAAAAAAATCCTAAGCCAATCATTCTCCTTTTGTAGTCTATTCTTTTCTTGATGGATTCACTCTTAAGAAATGGTGGGTGGAGAGGAAAAAGGAGGAAAATATATCAAACAGCTAGCTAGGGAACTAAATTCCTCACATCTTTACCACAGGAATGAAACGCATACAATGGAAGAACCACAAAGAGATAAGATTGATTGAGAAAAAGTATCTACAAGCTGCTTTCTTTGTTCAAAAGGTTATTGAAAAAAAGAGCAAGTTGATGATCTTTATGATTAGCCTCTCAATTTCATATAAGCTACAAGGAGGCCATGCACTATTCTGATCAATATAATACTTCTATATAGATTCTATAGTTATGCGTTTGACCTATAACCTTCTTCGTCATCAAACCCTGCCCACTTCTATGTGCAGATCACAACTCAAATGGGTTCTTGATCTTGCTCACATTTGATGTCTCCTTGGTCTTGTTCGACGGCTTGCTTGAATCGAATCTGCAAGGATCTGCCTCGATAAGTAACTGGACAACCTCGTTCATGGTTGGCCTTAGGGCCGGAGTCTTGCAGGTACATCGAATGGCGATCCTAAGGACTTGGATCATCTCATCTCTGAAGGATCCTGACAGCTTCTTGTCTAGGACTTCCATCACTCCCTCCTTGGTCTCCACTTTGGTTGAGACCCAATAAATGATGTTCTTGTTGTCTCCAAATTCTGCCTCGACGGGCTTCCTCCCCGTTATTAGCTCCAGCAGCACGACCCCAAAACTGTACACATCGCACTTGGTAGTTGCCTTCGATGAGAATGCATACTCTGTGACACCAAGTAGACGACAAAGAATTAGAATGAGAAACATGTAAAATAATCAACTTGTTAAGCCTAGTTAGGGTTTGGCTAAATGGTTCGACATAATTAATTAAACCAAAACTCTGTTAAGGAGTCAATGATGGTAGCTGACAGCTAAATTTAATCAGAAAGTTAATTGAGATCAAATTAATAATTCTAATGGTTAACCTAAAATCGCAAATTCGATTTGGACACAAGAGTTCATGTTTTTCTTCTGGTGAATTTTCTTTCTTTCTTTCTTTCTTTCTATTTGAACAATTTAGTTAAATAATCTGTGGATTTTTGTTTATATTACACTTTCAGTTTATCATCAAAACCCTGAGAATCATTAATGTAGAACTAAAAGCATTGATGTAAACTCAATCACCAACTAGGTAAACCGGAAAATCGTTTTAACCCTATTTAGCCAATTCAATTTCGAATTACCCAGAACCCGAAAACCGAGTAGCAATTCCTAATCCGCCTAGTTTATCTTGTATGCAGGAAAGATGCAATAGAGGTAAGTTACCTGGAGCCAAGTAACCATATGTGCCAGCAATAACAGTAGTAGTGGAATCTTTCCCACCTCTAGCTTGCAAAACCTTGGCTACCCCAAAATCTGCAACCTTAGGCTGGTAATGGATATCCAACAGGATGTTGCTGGACTTGATATCCCGGTGGATGATTGGTGGCAACAGGTCATGATGAAGGTACGCTAACCCTTGGGCGACCCCAAGTGCTATCTGATGACGTGCAGCCCAAGTCAGATGAATCCACCCTTTGTGCAGCGCATCCCACAGGTTCCCATTCGGCATGTACTCGTAAACCAGCAGGCTGCAATCCAGGCTCGAGAAGTAACAGTAGAGCTTCACTATGTTCTTGTGCCTTATGCTCCCAAGTGTCTCCACCTCCGTCTTCAGCTCCTTGTCCATAAGCAACTGGGAAGTGACATCTGATGCCGAGTCTTTCCCTCTTTTGCTGCTCCACAGCCTCTTCACTGCCACCACTTCCCCACTGCTGAGCTCGATCTTGTACACCGTGCCTGACCCACCGCGCCCCACTATGTTCTTGTCGACCATGGATTCAACTATCTGTCTCTGGTCGAAGCTTATTCGGTGGAAGCTCTTCACATCGTAGGAGAAGAAGGACGTGGACATGGTCTCGTCGTGCTCCATCACGGCCCTTTCTCTACCGAATCGACGTTTGAGGAGTAGCAGGATCCCGACAACTATGATGGCTACTGAGACGCCAATTACCCAGATGGAGTTCATCTTCTTTTTGTAGCTGCTTCTCTGTGAGCATATTGGGAACATTTGATTGGACGATGAAGTCACGGGAACCGGAACGCAGAGGCCCGGGTTTCCTGAGAAGCTCTCCACAAGCCCTTCTTTGATCAGTATAACTGGGATTGGACCAGAGAGGAGATTGTTTGAGAAGTTTATGGAAGTCGCTGAAAGTTCACCGAGGCTCTCTGGGATAGTCCCAGTCAAAAGGTTGTTGGAAAGATCAAGAACGTTGAGTGATTTCAGGGAAGAGAGCGAATTGGGGATTGAAGAATTGAGCTTGTTTCCTTGCAGCATGAGTAGATTAAGCTTTCTGAGGTTCCCAATCTGTGGAGGGATTCCTCCCCACAAGAGATTATTGCTGAGATCCATCTTCACCAGGTTTACAGCGCCAGAGATTTCAGGCGGCGGTGTCCCTGTTATCTTGTTGCTCTGGATGAAAAGCTCGGACAAGTTTCTAGCAACGGCGATCGATTTATCAATCGAACCAGTGAAATTATTGTAAGCAAGATCAATAATTGAAGCATGTGGGAGACCCAGAAGTCCCTCAGGGATCGACCCTTCCAAACGGTTGTGACTGACGCGGAATCGCAACAGAGTCTTGCATTGCGTCAAGCTCTTTGGTAGCTCCCCGGAGAACAAATTATCCAGTACAAGAAAGTAGAGCAGCTTACCTCCGTTGCAAATCTCCGCCGGCAAATCCCCCGAGAGCCGATTCTCCGACAAGTCAAGCACCATCATTTGCGACAGTCTCCCGAGCCCTTTCGGAACTTCCCCTGTTAGAGAATTGCCATACAGCGACAAAATGCGCAGTGATGTTGACTCGGCTAAAGCGTCGGGAATCTCTCCTGACAGGCTGTTGTTGTAAAGCTGCAGCACTTGGAGCTTCGGCAGGCGGCATATAGACGCCGGGAGGTTGCCGGTCAACTTGTTGACCGACATGTCCAGGTCCACGAGCTCGGTCAGATTGCCGAGCTCTTCAGGTATGGAGCCAGAGAGCTCGTAGTTATAGTACAGCTCGAGCGACTGAAGATTCTTCAGCTGCCCGAGCTGTACGGGAATTCCTCCTGTGAGGTAATTCCCGCTCAGCTCGAGATCGACGAGCGAGGTCATGTTCCCTAGCCAACGGGGGATCGTACCTCGCACCATGCAGGTTGTCAGTATCATGGTGTTGAGCTTGGTCAATCGGGAGAAGCTATCGGGAAGCTGCCATAAATTGAGGTTTCCATTCTCGTTGAAGTCGAGGAGCTCGAGGTTGCTGAGGTTGGCGACAGAGAGTGGGAAATCGCCGGTGAAAAGGTTGTAGGACATGTTGAGGACTCTGAGTGATTTCAGGGGCGAGAAATCGGGAGGGAGTTTGCCGGCGAGGTACAGAGTGCTCATGTCGAGCTCTTCGAGGAGCGAGCAGTTGGCGACGATGGTGGGGAGGAATTGATCGCTGCCGCGGAGATGGTTGTGGCCGAGGCGGAGGATGCGTAGGTTGGGGAGGTAGGAGCAGATATCGGGAGGGAAGCTGCCAGAGATTTGCTTCCATGAGATGTCGAACTTTTCGACCTGGCCCTGGGTGTTGCAGGCGATGCCTGTGAAGTTGCAGAAGGGTTTGCCGCCGTCGATGTCCCAGTCGGAGAGGGTGGGACCTGAGAGGGAAGCTTTGATGAGAGTGAAGAAGTGGGATTGGTTGGTGGCGGTGGCGGTGGCATGGAGAGGGGGAAGAAGGGAGAAGAGAAGGAACAGAAACAGGGGAAGAGCCATTGGAGACGGAAGGGAGGGAAAGGTTTGCAGAGAGAGAGTGGTGAAGAGTGGGAAGCAGAGAATATAAATGGGGGAGGGGGAAAAGGTGGAAAATACTACTACAATATTCGGTCTGAGTATTCCGGCAAATTGAACGAGTTTTCTCAGGTCAAATTCCGGACGGAATTTTTTCTTTCTCCTTTCAGTGCGCCTATCCCGATCACCTTTGAATCCCGCGCGCTAGCCATCTTGTTCTTCTTTCTTGTTTGATTCCTGATGCACACATGTTTGTTATATTGCGTATATGAACCATCAGTGGGCTGTAGGCTAAATCCGTAGGTGGAGCTAGGGTGTTCGGAGTGTGTCACAAGATACAACTAGTTACGGAGAGAAAAATAATCGACTCCGATAAGCATATATGAGATCTAACTCAAAACATTCGAGTTGATGGAAGAGTAATTTTTTTAATGATTTTAGTATTAAAAAAAAATATGTTGGTGGTGAATTCTAATTCATCGTCATTTTCACAAAACGGTCGAGCGGATTTGCAAAGCAGTAGACGAATCTTACACTTACAACGGGACTCAACCATTTCAATGAAAACAACGGTTGATCGCTTATACGCGCCAGTTGAACTGATGATGAAAAAGTCGATGTTCCCAAAGGAACTAGTCAACTACACTATGGAGAGGTCGATGGGCTAAGGTTAAGAATATCTTCATACCTCAATCCAACATCGTGGAGGGTGCTCTGAAAACAATGAACCCGGCAATTGCACTCGAAAGATTGACCAGACATTTGACATAGTGGTCCTGTTGATCTACATGTATTGCAACAACAACTACATTTGATGTTCTGACATCTTATCTTCTTGTCCAAGCACCAAAGTCACAATAATTTGTTTACACGATTGTTAGAGTGATAAAATAATGACATAGATGGTTATTGTAGAGGTTTATGTTGATATTAACTAGTGTTAGATGGTTATTTGTAGGAAAGTCCTTGTTTAGAACTGAAATCATTCTAGTGGTAAATCCTGATCCAAAACAGATAAAGTAATGACCAACCGGTTGACCATTTTCTTCACCCGACTGACAATAATTTTTCATTGTAATTGTACAGCTATGTTGAATGTCATCCGGTCGATCGTTTTGTACAAGTCATGAGTCATGACTTGAAAATCCATACATTTATAGTATTATAGACAGAGAGCCATGTAGTAAATTACTAACTATAGAATAAACAATTAAAGTTTGGTTGCTTTTTGGCTTATGTGGCAGGTGAGATGGCATCGATTCAACATTCCGTTAGTCAATTTAACGCCTTCGAACACGTCGTTATAGTTTCAGACGAAAATGGATAGATTTGTCACACAACCTTCCGATTTTTGGATATTTCGTGTATATCTATAGTTGTGGATATATTTGTCACAAACCTGATAGTTGTGGATATACAACTGTATTTTGCCTAAGTTTTTTTTTTCTCTTTTAATCCATGTCATTTAGTGGGGTCAGAAACATGCCAACTAAGCATCCATCGTTTGTCCAGTCATCAAGTTAACTGACGGAGTTAACGGAGTGGACGGAAATGGATATTTCGTGTATTTCGATAGTTGTGGATATATTTGTCACAAACCTGATAGTTGTGGATATACAGCTGTATTTTGCGTAAAATTATTGAGAAAGATTGTTTTTTTTTTGTAAGGTTTCGTTTTTTATGTTGACAGTCTGGCTCCATCTAAATATGCATAGTCGCATAGGTAACACATAAATATTATCTTAATCCACTCGAGTGTTCTGGATTCCTAACTTATTGTTGAACTCATAGAAGAGACTTTTGGTGTTGCCTAATGCATAGACGCGTCAAAAAGTAGTCGTTTGGTTTTGGTGATAGTTAAATAGATGCATTGTTATCTATGTATGCATAATTAATAATATACATGTATATAAGAAAATTGATGTATTGTAGTTTACATCGTTTAGTTTCTGTGATAGTTATTATAGTATTTAAATAAAATGTATTGCTTTTCGGGTGAAATGTCACTTTTACCCTTTGTTTTAATATAAAATAGCAAAACACATCAAAAGGTAGGGACATAGTTGGAAGTAGAAAACACTCCAACAATCTCAAACAAACAATCTCACTAAAAACTTGAGATATTACTATCACTCATTTTGAGTGATAGTTTCCATCACATCAGGAAAACAATACATGTATAATTTGTGCAAAAAATTCAAAAAAATAATGCATTGTTGCATTGTAACTATTTCAACCAAACAATCACGAAAATCATAATTTTATATTATGGTAGTCCTTGACCCAACTTCTGGCTTCGGGCTGAATCTCTCCCTGGTTTTAAACTTACGAGTAGTCCTCCATTTACCGCAGAAGTACACGGAACATGATTGAAATATATACAACACTGAAACAGATGATGGAAGCAGTATACTGTAGTCTGTATACACTTTTTACTTACTTTTTTTTTGGGTAGAAAACACTTTTTACTTTCTGCTGAATTGGGTGCTCGATTATTTTATCCAATTGTGGCCAGATTAGTGGAGGTCAATTGTGGTACTGCCACTATGCTTGTCAACTTGTTTCACTGTCTATTTCCCCCGTTGTAGAAAGTAATGACTCTGATAAGTTTTTCTCTCTTGATTGGCCAGCCAATGTCGATGGAACCTCACGGACGATGGACTGTCTAATTTGGTTGTTAATTAAATCGCTTTCACTTTTTGGAGAGTGGAGCAATGGGATCTGAAACTAAGTTTTGATGTTGCTGAACAGGTAAGTTTTTTCTGGTTTTCATCTCAATTACTTGTCTGAAAGGCATTTAGATTGGATGACTTGATAGTGACATATTGGTGAATGTTAACACTAAGTTGCTTAGCAAATGGAGACAGATTTGGACAAAGAAAGAAACCCTAATCTCAGTTTTTCTTGGGTTAATCAAGTTTTGTTAGGGTTATCTTATTCCATTTTTACCCAGTGACTTGGTTGGTAACTATTTTTGGATCGGTGCTAGCTAGTTGTTCTCTTTCGTATGGGACATGTCTGCCCTTAGTTTGCTTTGGTTTCTTTCTGATCATGGAGCCTAGCAATCAATTTTGGACAGATACCCTGTCTTTTCATCCCAGAACAATTCCTTTTTTTTTTCTTTTCCCCTAAAAAAAGATTGATACTTTTTGCTCAGTAATGGAGTCTCCACCATATCCAGAACTCTGTGAATCTTATTCTCAAAAGGACCCCCAAACCACTCGTGAAAATAGAAAACACCAACACCAAGGCCACACGTGTTTCTGGCATTATTATTTGTATGCTTACATGCAAATCTAACATGTGCAGATGTTCTCATGTTCTTAACTCTCTGTTTATGCAATGAGAAATTGAGAATTTTTTGGCTGGTGAATTCTATGTTTTGCTCTTTTGATCTCGCAAGTTGTCGTCCCTTTAATCACAAGTTGGTATTGTTCTACCTACAACAGTAGAACCAGAGCTGCTTCTTGAGGACAGTTAACCCTAAGTAGCTATGTAGTTCTAACTGAGAAAGACTTGAAGCTAAAGCTCCTTTTAGATGAATTCATGATCCAATTGTTCTGTTATCTACGTGTCTTTCTGAGAATAACCTTTTCTTAGGGTTCCAATTTGCATAGAGAAACAAGCTTAGCCTTATGTTCTGATATCTCTCTACCACAAGGAAGGGCATCAAATCCCTCTAGAGAGCAAAAGAGATAGGAAAGAACGTAGAAAGGGTCGTTGTATGCATGCTTCTTTATTTTGATCTGTCCTGGGGATTGATATGGCTTCAATTTCATTGAAGTGGACCCCTTTTCAGTACGTAATTTGTAAAATAGGAATCAGGACTCCATTTCATAACTAGAGAGAACAAATTAATATAGAACAAAGAAGCTCCACGAGAATCAGAACCTACCACCATCATCCCAGGCCAATAATACTCCTTTTGCAGTTTATTCTCCTTTATGGATTCACTTTTAAGAAATGGTGAGTGGAGAGGAAAAAGGAGGGGGAAGAAACAAGAAATTCTCAAACAGCTAGGGAGAGAGAGCGCTTTCATTTGTGGGTCTCAAAAATCTTTTATATGCTATGCGTTACAATAAAGCAGGTATGGTATAGATTGTAACTAAATTCCTCATATCCTTACCACAGCAATCAAACAAAAACAATGGAAGAACAGGAAAGAGATAAGATTGATTGAGAAAAAGTATATACAATCTGCTTTCCTTGTTGAAAAGGTAATTGGAGAAAAAAGAGCAAGTTGATGATCTTTATGATTAGCCTCTCAAATTCATATAAGCTACAAGAGGCTCTGTACTATTTTGATCAATATAGTACTTATGAATAGATTCTATGGTTATACTTTTGACCCGTAAGCTTCTTCCTCATCAAACCGTGCCCACTTCTATGTAGATCACAACTCAGGGGAAGAGTCATCAGAGAACAAGAGATTCGTCTAGTGGTAATACCATTAGTTTTGAACCTGGAAGTTTCAGGTTCAAATCCCTTTAAATCATCCTTATCCAAGAGCCATTGGAGACAGTAACAAAGCAATTTCTCATAGAAAATTGGAAGAAGGAAAGTTGTTCTTCCTTCTGCCTTCTTCCTTTCATATATATCCCAATTGTTCAGTACAAGACAAAGCCAGCTCAGGAAGGACATGAAGACTTTGATGATCTGCTCAAGCAATTTTTCACGAACTAGGTGGCAATCTAGTTTGATATACTTGGTCCTCTCATGAAATGTGGGATTTTCAGCTATGTAAATAGCTGATTGATTATCGCAGTAAAGAGAGACTGGTTTAGGATGAGGCACCTTGAAATCTTGCAAGAGGTAGAGAAGCCACTGAATCTCGCATGTTGTATGCGCAAGAGCTCGATATTCCGCTTTGCAAGAAGATCGAGAGACAGTTGATTGTTTTTTGGACTTTAAGTAGGTGTCAGTGATAGACTTGCGTGTATCAGGGCAGGAACCCCAATCGGAATCACTGAAGGCCTTTAATTCAAGAGAGGACTGCAAA